AGTCAAGCCGATACAGTTCAGTCCTCAAAATCACAAACCCGGCCGCGCAGAAACATCGGGTTTTTGGCGTTTTTGGTTCCGCATATCATCATAATTTGGACGCCATGTTAAGCCATGCTAAGAGCCGAAAGTGCCGATCCTGCCGTGCTTTTCGCACATTGTTAGCAAGCAAACTGGGGCAAACGAGGGCGATGGACCCTATAATCAGAATAAGGAAACCCCCCAAAAAATAGTATTGGTAATTATATTTAGGCCCGCATATAATTAGACCCTAAACCCTAAACCCTAAACCCTAAACCCCTATATAATTAGGGCTTCGGATTTAGGGCTTTAGGGCAGGCGAGTTTGGACGAGCCATGCCATAGAGCAGCTGCAGCTCTGACCATGACCCCAGCCGAGTCGAGCAGTTAGGGTTTAGGGTTTAGGGTTTAGGGTTTAGGGTTTAGGGTTTAGGGTTTAGGGTTAGACTCGGGTTCGTGGTGTCCATTGCACCAACAACAACACGAATGCTGATGATAGAAACGATACAGTGATAACAACAATAACAATAATAACCGTACCAGCAAGAAGAGCAATAAGAGCCGGAACAAGTATAAGACCAAGACTAGCGATAATAACTATCGTTATAAGGACAACAACGGCAACAATGACAATAACAATAACGATAACGATATGATAACGATGACAATAACAACACCATCAATCTTATAGTTTTGGGTCATGGCCCATCAGGGGATACGTTCAGTAAGAATTCCGACAACGGCCTCCAAAATCCAGAGAGCCCAATACTCCTTAATACAGGAACCTACCTTATACCCTGATATAGAGCCCCCTTTGATTTAAGGGAATAACCCTAAACCCTAAACCCTAAACCCCTAAACCACGAACCCCTAAACCCTAAACCCCTAAACCCCTATAACCCCAACCATTGGGCCGGTACCCGGCCTCGCCAATGGACAGCGGGGCCATGCGGTGCGGGCAGCTGTCGAGAGCTGCGTGCCAGATGTTTTCTGCCACGTCCGAGCACCAAACCTCAGGAAGTTGCATAGCTCCAGGGTCTATATAAGGCAGAGGTTTAGGGGACCCTACATATATATAAACCCCTAAACCCTAGTTTAAGGGTTTTTGTAGCTTTAGGGTGTTAAAGGTAGAGTGTTAGGTTTCTAGGATGCAGGGCTTGGGATTTGGGGGGATTGTAAAAGCGCCCCGCAAGGGTAGACCGGAGGTTGACAGTCAAGGGGCCACCATTCGCTTCCCCAGCAGCTTGACGGGGTTGGGCCTGAGCTTGAGAAGCACCACTTCCATCTGCAGGTGCTGTTGAGGGCAAATCGTGGACAAAGAGAGGTCGGGTAACTACAGTCGTGGTCGAGGCGATGAGGATGGGTGCGGCTCCTGTTGTGCTTCTGCTCTCCCGACGTCTCGTTACAACTCACAAGATACTCAAACACAAAAATCCCAAAAACCCTAAGAGCCCTAAACACCCTAAAATCCTTAAAGCCCTAGGCCCTAAGCCGCAAGAACCCTAAAATCCCTAAAACCCGTCCTCTCCGAACCAAAGGCCGAGATCCCAACTTGTCCGCGTGCAGGTAGTCCAGAGGTGCGATGGGATACCAGGCGCGGTTCCAGTCGAAGTACTCCTTCGCCTAGAGTAGAGCATAGTCGAGTCTGGTATAGTAGAGTAGAGTATAGTGTAGTCTGGTATACTACAATGCAGTAGAATTTGAATGCATCTTCCTGGATGTACAGCTTGGTTTTCAGGGATGGGTGTGAGTGAGGAATCGAAGTTGCAGTCATGGCGTCACTCACGGATCTGAGGAAGCCAAAACTCAGTCTCAACATGAGCTTATCACGATTCCGGCAAGGAGGAGGTTAACATCCTGTCAAAAAGACATCTCTGTCCCTCCCGATATTCACCGTGCTTTTCCAGCACGAGCAACCGGCCAGAATCGCCTTTACTGCGGATGGTCTTCTGCACTATGCTGCGTAACCGGCCCTATAAAAAGTACCTATACCTTAAAAAAAGCGATGCAGGATTTCGATCATCGACATTATGCCCGGGCCCTAAACCCTAAACCCTAAATGATGGTGCAAACCCTCAAGCTTTGTCTGCCTGCTGCTTCATCTCCTTGGTGACACCCTCTTCTCCGTCTTTTTCTTTTCGCTTCCTTGGGGGAGCCGGTGTCAGGATCTGCAAACAGATCCCTTGAAACCGTTGCAGGGCTTTTGGCGTTGAGATGTAACGCTGAGTTCTTCTGAGCTGTTAACCTTGTCCTGATCATTGCCTTTCTGACATCTGCTAGTATTCTAAATAAAAACCCATGGGCCCCTAGTATGGGCCCTTAACCCTGGGACCCTAATATACCTACCCTATACCCTATATATACCCTTGTTAGGGGCCCATGGGTTCAACCTTAGAGGTCTAGGGTTGACAGAACGACTTTGAACATGAGTTCGGGCGTGCCCGCAAGTCCCGAATGTCTGCTGTGCAAGCGGGGGGTTTCCTAAAATAGGGGACCCTAATATAGCACCCTCAATAGTAGGATCCAACTTACAAGGACTCCAAAATAAGGTACCCTAAACCCTAAACCCTAAACCCTAAACCTCTCTATCATATAGAACTTTAAACCCTAATGGTTTTCGTGGGATTTGCCTTCTAAACCTTAATGCTTTTCGTGGGATTTGCCTCTAAACC